GGAATTAAAGAATGGGTTTTGGGGGTCAGCCAGGTGGTGTGGAGGTTAAAGCAGTTGGATCCCCCATGATCAACTGCACGGTTCAAGTCCTGAACCTGGTGACTTGAAATCACGTTGGGCACACGTGCATGCACGCCCAGAAGTCCTGCCAGGAGAATGGAGGAGAAGGGATGGGGTGAGTCCATCCCCCTTGGGAGTGCTTCTCGCTTCATAAAAAGCCAAACACAGGATGAGTTTCTTCTGGTGCAGAAAGATTTTGAAGCCCAGACAGTGTTTCCATAGTATCCACTTTCTGTGGACTTTATGGACCCTTCATTTCTTAGGTCTGGACACGATTTCACACTGCGCTGCCGTAGTCTACAGGTAGCACTTACAGTATGAGCAGGAAACAGAAGGATGGGGGCCGGAAGGTGGCATAGAGGTTAAGGCACTGACTCCCACGTGGCTGACCGTGGTTCAAATCCCGGACCCAGAGGCCTGAAATTCACACTGGGCACATGAGCGTGTGCGCCCAAAATCCCATGGGGAGAATAAACGAGAAGGGATGGTGGTATAGCCATTCCCCCAGGGGTTGGGGATGATTTCTCACTTTCTGTCTGTCTCTTCAGCAAGTTCATGCACCCTATAGCCAAAATCTCTCTAAACACATAAGAAGGATGACAAGAAGTGTCTCCTGAGTAGCCAAGGAGATTGATTAACACGTAGGGTTATCTGATCGAATAACATAAATAATTCTGGACCCCTTAAAAATTTTGGTTAAAATACAGCTTTCGTGAACTGTTATGAAGTGGTGGTTACGAGTCCACTTCAGAACTTCCGAAGTTTAGAAAATGCCGTCATGCCATCAAATGTGTCATTTTAGCCCCAGTGCTTGGCAGCTCGATGTGGCAAGATCGTAAGGTATTCTCAGAGGAAATGGTCAACAGCTTTAGGAATTTATTCAAGTCTTAGTTCTCTTGAGTTATATATATTTATTATACTACACTCACTTTATGACATTAAACGCATCACATGAGTAATGTAGTTAAAGGAGAGCAGAAGCAGACGAGCTGGTGATATTTGCACAGAGGTGCATCCTCGAGGGGGACTTAGTGCTCCCCAGCTGCAAAGGCCGGGTCGTATGGAATGGCGACTTAGAGGAATCCACTCATGGCCGTCTCGTTCTGTTTACTTCCTACGAAGCGACTGCTCACCAGGAATGAGCCTCTGCGTCCTGTTCTTTTCCATCCACCGAGGACCCGCCGACAAATCTGAAACTGCTTGTGCTGCCACAGCCTGTAAGCGGCGCCGGGAGTGTAGACGGGAAATAAGGGTGACAAAGCGCCTCTTCCGAGCAGCCGAGGAAGTTTAGGTTGATCCTCCTTCACGTATTCTCTTGGATCTTAATTCATGGCCTAAATGCCCCTTATGTCAAAGCCAAAAACAGCAGCCTGGTGGTCTTGGTTGTCATGAGTTACGTTGGAGCCGAAATCCCTCCTTGCCAGATGCTCAAGCAGACCTTCTAGAAGGGGGCTTGCCCAGCTCCAGGGGGAGAGATGAATGCATTAAATCGGGAACTCCTCCCTCTGGAACCGGGCCCAGCCAGACCAGGAAAGCCCTTCTACCCTCCTACTTTACCGTCCGGTCACAGGGGTCCAGTTTTGGCCCCAACAGTGCGAGGCAACACGTTTTATTTCGAATAGCTTAGTCTGAATCTGCCAGTCCACCTCCGTGTTGACTCACTCCCTCCCCACTGAGCTCTGTCCCTCGGTCGACTTCAGGTCTGGTCTGGGAGGCGCTCTCGGTTCTAAGACATTCCCAGCGCACGCTGCACGTGCTGTCATGTGATTCCTCTCTGCCCACTACAGAGCCGTCCTTACTTAAAACGACTCCAAATCCGTGAACACTGAGGACCCCCTCTTTGGAAACAGCAACCTCCTTAGGCTCTTAGGGCCTCAGAACTGAGACCGAGGTTCTGCAGGTGGCTGGCCAGAGCGGGGTGTGATTGGTCGGGGCACCCGACACGTCTTAGACTGGACTTGGGATTAGGGGGCTCGCAGCTCTCAACTGTCATGTCACATCATTGGTTCACACCAAACTAACGCTACCTAGAACACCCAGCTCTCCTTCCTTCCGTCGGTAGGTGTGTATTCAGGGCAGCCAATTCCTGTATTATTCAAGGGGGTTCCTCGAGGAATTCAAGGCATTAGATGGATCGGTATTAATTTCGGCCATTACGTATTACTCCAGCCTTGACTTACTATTATTACACATCACATATTGTTCCCATCAACTAGGAGTTTAAAAATACCCCATAGAACACTCATGACGACACCTTGGTCTTGGAGAATTTCAGGTAGGCTTTCTTGGTCCCATTTTTATTCCTTTGCTGCCTTTGCCCCGTTTTCGTAGCGGTGCTCACATTTTTGAGAGGGGCTGTGGGTGCACATTTCAGGTGGGCGCTGTGTAAGCCCAGCCAGTGGACGAGGCAGGCAGGGCGGGGCTGCCCGCTCTGCCCGC